TTATAATTCTAATGTATATATGGAATAATTAGTTTTATATATTGCTATAACTGATCAACCTATTAACATGGCTGAAGATAAATATTTTGAAAGATTTATTAAAAATTCATTTTTTCCAGGATTTAAAAGTTATTCTAAAACTGCAACTAGAAATGATTTAATAAAATTTTTTTGTAAAATGAAATTAGAATTAAAAAATAACATATATAGTTATCATGTTAGTGTGGCTCTAACTGCCGATATTTGGAGTGGTAGAGCTAAACAATATTATATTTATGTGACTAGTCATTATTTTGATAACGAATGTAAATTAAATAAATCTTAGATTTAGATTAATGGATGTGAATCACAGTGGTCAATAAATTTATAATAAAATTGTTGAAGTTTTAGAAGATTATGATGTTATTAATAAAGTGATAAATTTAACTTTAGATAATACAAGTGTTAATAGTACAGCTATAGTTTTTTTTTTAAATTAATTATCTTTTTTATGACAATTTAAAGTTTTTTCACTAATGATGTGCATGTCATATTATTAATTTAATTGTAAAAAGTGGTATGAAAACAATTAGAGATAATATTGATAGAATTAGAGATTCTTTAGCTTGGATTATTAGTAGTAATTAAAGAAATGTTGAATTTCAAGATGCTTGTATAAAATCAAATATGTTTCCTAGAATTTTTGCATTAGACATGTATGTTAGATGGAATAGTATTTATTTAATGCTTGATTCATGTTTGCGTTATGCAAATTTAATTAGTTATTTTGTAGCAAATAATAGAGGTCCTCATTATTTGGTAGAAAATGATTGGCATATAGCTGAAAATTTTCATTCTTTTCTTAAAAATTTTTACCAATCCAGTTTACAACTTTCTGGTGTGTATTATCTTAATAGTCCATTGGTAATACATACAATTATAAAAATTTCAGATTTATTTAGAAAAAACAGAAATAATGAGGCTCTGTTTGGTTCATTATTGGGTAGTTTTTATAATAATCTTTTGAAAAAGGTTAAATTGGGTGGGTATTACTATACAGAATTTTGAAAATTAACTAAATACCCCTATGTTTATTTATTTACTAAACACCACCCCTATAATAAAATAATCAAAGTTAACAAAAACACTCTCAATCCACTCATAAATACGGACAGTCGGCCACCACCGCCGGAGGGTGGTCGGAGTTGCCTTATAGTGCATGATCGGCTCGATCTTGCCGGTCGTGCACCGATATGGCCTTTTTCGGCTAGATCCACCATGGATCTGACTGAAAAATGCCAGATTTACGGCCATCGTTGATGGTCAACAACGACCATATCTTGGCCTTCGTTGACAACTATCTACGACCAAAGATCTGGCCGAAAAAGGCTAAATCGGTGCACTACCGACCAGATTCAGCCGATAGTGCGTCATTACACCAGATTTTAGCCAGCTTCTAGCAGTAGTGGTCAGAATCTGGTAAATTTGGGTTACTGGGGTGTTTTTGTCAATTTTTTAAAAAAAATTTGGGGGTTGTTTAGTTAAATTAACAAATTTAGGGGGATTAAAGGAAATTGAATAATTTAGAAAACTATTTTGAAAATAGGTGAAATAAAGTTAACTTTTTTGGGAAAACTAGAAAAGTTTTCCCAATATGTGAACTAAACGAAGCATGAAATTTTAGGGGGACCAATAAAGGCAGTGGGAAAAAAAAAAAATTTTAAATATTGGAAACTCATTCCTTTTCTTTATTGTTTAGGTGCTATATTTGATCCTAGAATTAAAGTAGCAGGTTTAGACACATTAACTGAAAATTTACAAAACCAAGTATATGCCAATCAACTAGGAGAAGTAAGAGAGTGTCTTGCAGAGGTGTATTTGCAATATGAAAACAGGTATGGGAACCAGCAAAGAGTCGAAATACCCAGGGAAGTTGCATCAAAAGAAACAAATGAAGACTTCGACTCCTAGAGTGCACTTAATAGGCCGAAGAAGACCCGAACCTGAAGCACAACCTCCTCTTCAGAAGCACCAACAACGAATGTACTGTCCTCCATGCAGTCACAGAGTAATGAGCTTCAACAATATTTGGCAACCCCCAAAGTGTTACCAGCAGATCCACAACAAAGAGCCAACTTTGATGTCTTAGAATATTGGAAAACCAGAAAATGTATTTTTCTGGTATTATCAAGACTTACCTTGGATGTTTTCGCTGTTCCTGTCTCAACCGTCTCATCCGAACTAACATTTAATACAAGTGGAAGAATTTTAAATGAAATGAGGACTAAACTTTCACAAAAAATGATTGAAGTCATCACATGTCTTTGAGATTGGGAACAATAGCGCCATCAAGATCAATACGAGGTTGTCGACGATACTTTAATATAATCATCTCAATTTTGTAATATAGATGATACAGATAAGGGAGGTCCTAGTCAACCCCCAATTAGTTATTTTGTAAATTATAACTTATAAATTAATTGTCAATTATTACACTCTTTTCTTCTTACCAAGTTTTTGCCCAATTGGGTTTTTCTTGGTAAGGTTTTTAATGTGGTAATAATTGTTGTAATTTCTTATTTTATTTTTTGATAAATGAATAAATCTAATTTTTCTTATATTACAATTCTATTGTATTAAAATTGAATTAATATTTGAAATGTTAACCAAAAAAAAAAAAAAATTAATTGAATTATTGATATTTAAAAGGTTAACTAAAACAATTAAACAAAAGAAAAAATTAAAAAAAAAAAAAAAAATTGTGGGCTAACCTGGCCCAGCTAGCATCATAACCCGTCGAGTTAAGGTTGGCGAGCCAGGCTAGGCCAACCTTTCTGGCCAAGAGGCGGGCCTGGTTATAACCCGCTGCGGGTCCGACTGGGCGGGTCATTTTTCCACCACTAATTGTAACAAATTTTCTCTCTCTATTAACCAAGAGAGAAAAATCAAAAAGAAGATGACAAAAAATGTAATTATATCTAAAAGGTGAAAAGACCACAAATGCCGCTCAATAATTCTTTAAATACCTTTTAACCACATGTATTAGCATTGACTCTACATAAGCACAAATCAGGTGCCACATCATCACAAAACCCCAAAAGTGCTTTCACATGGTAAAGATGGAGAAGAGATTACTGAAAAAGAGAGAGAGAGGTTGAACTGAAGTGAAGTGAGAGCTTTGCATAAGAAAAGTGGATGGGGGAAATAGATTCTAGAGAGATTGCATCAAGGTAAAGAGAGGATAAAGTGGTAGAGTAGCCAGAAACTAAATACAAAAAGAGGTGGTGGATGGGGTAAGGTGAGCCTAAGCCAAGAGCTTAATTGTCTTGTTTGTGTTGTGTGTAGTAGAGAGAATTGAAATGTGAGGCTAGAGCAATTTGAGGATTCTCATTTTTATTCTTCTTGTTATTCCTTTATATAATGCAATATAACACTTCATCAATCTCTCTAAAATTCTATCTCTCATGGACACTTTTCTCTTTTTAATTCCATCTCATTTAGATTTGGAAGATTGTCATTGGAAAGTATGGAAAGGCCATTGATTAATTTGGCTTAATGACGTGGGTTTTTATCTTCTATTACATTCGACTTATTCCAATGAAATTTTTTGACCAATGAATATATGCTACATCTGCTTTTACACTGTTTGTTTGAATATATATATATATATAGACACACACACACATATGCCAAGCATCCTAGTTTCAAATTCAATCTCAGCAGCAAGCCTTCCTAGTATTATTTGATAAGCAAAATGGCTAGTAAGAGAGTTTGTGTCTTTCTAGTTCTTATCACATTATTTCTTTCATTTGAATTCATATTTGAAACTCCTCCTCCTCCTCTGATTATTTCAAACTCGTACAAATTCTTCTTTCAATTTGAATTCATGTCTGAAACACGTTCCGTAGAGACCAACCTAAAAAGGTTGATTCAAGTGCAGGTGAATATCCGAATGATGTATTCTACCCGTATATCGATCACCATGGGATCATTCTTGTTGGAGTAGTCGACTACTTCAGCATTATTAGGTAACGGAGACGCACTCGGGGGTCCTTGTAAAACTAGGTTTAGTCTCTTAAACCTGGTATATAAACATATTTTTCTCTTGTTATGGGTGTGATAGCAAATCATAGGATAATTCAGTCATTGTAAACGAGAGAGGTGAGGCATATTGCAATAATATTGACTCAGCTGGACGTAGCCCATATTGGGTGAACCAGGGTAAATCGCGCGTGTTATTTTCTTTGTTTTACTATTATATTTTGTTCATGTTGTTGTCTCTATTTCGTTCAATTCTGAGGGTGGACACAATACCGCAAGAATTTTTATGTGAAAATTTGATTCGCAGCATAGGTAGGAAATGTAGTATGTGGAAGTGGAAGCAAGTATGCCTTTATGGTTCCTAATGTTGTAATCAATAATCATCATCCCTTGAGTTTTCAAGGAGAATTAATAAAATCATGCTTTTTAATTTTGAGTAATACTACACTTACAAAGAAATTTTACAAAGATTTTCATACAAAGTGATGTGGCAAAAAATGAATGGAAGAGTGAATTTAATGAGTTTGACTTTTTATTTCACTCTTTCATTCATTTTTTGCCACCTCACTTTGTAAGATTTATTTGTAACTATAGTATTATTGGTTCATTTTAAACGTTAAATATTTGATTATGAGTAATACTACACATACATCATTTTCATACAACATTATGTGGTAAGATATAATTGGCTAATTTAAAGTTAAAATTAAACTTTCACCCAATCACATCTTACCACATAATGTTGTATGGAAATGATGTATGTGTAGTATTATTCATTTGGTTATATATGATTTTATTACATTTAGGTTGATTTATGCCTTTATGGGGCTTCAAATCTGGATCAGGCCCATACAATGATCAAAATCTTTTTTCATGTTGGGCTCCGTCGGCCCGACCCGATTGGCATATCTTCAAAAGCATTCTCCTTCTCTTACTCTCTTTCTCCCTCGCAAAACCCTTCAAAGCTCAAAACTTCATAAATGGCGATAACGGGAATTGCTTCAACAACTACCCCTTCGCAGATCCACAAGCTCCCCCTAGCCGCCCACATCGACGCCGTGAAGTGGCTCCCTCCGCTCTTGCCTCTCTCGAAGCTCTTCGCTCTTGCTCTCTTCGACACCGACGCCTCCGCCCCCTCCCTCCAAACCTTCTCTTTTTCAGACCCATCTTCTCCCTCTTCTCTCTCCCCTCCCCATTCCATCTGGATCCCACCTTCTCGAATCTCCTCTCTTGCCTCCTTCCGCCAGTCCCCGATCCTTGCCGCGTCGACTCTCTCCGGCTCCCTCCACATTCTCTCTGCGGGCCCCGCGGGGCTCGAGCTGCTGCTCGCTGTGGACGATAAGGGGTTTCACGAGGGACCCATTTTGGGAATTGACGTGGCGGAGAGCGCTGCGGTCGTGAGCGTGGGGGAAGATGGGAGGGTCAATTTGGTAAATTTCGGTGGCGGTGAGGGTTTTAGGAGGGTTTTTGATGGAGAGGGTTTGGTGGGGTTTAACGCCGTGAAATGGGCGTCTCCGAGTGAGTTTGTGACTGGTGGGTATGGTTTTGGACTTCAATGGTGGGATCTGAGACGCCCCGGTGGACCAGTTTCGCAGTTTAAAGGGAACTGGTGCGGTTTAATCTTTATGATTTGAAGTTTTTGTGATCAATTCTTATAATAAAGTTTATTCTTTTATGTGTTTATAAGATTTTTGTTAAATTTAGTGCAAGTTAATGGTAATGGAATTGTTCAATCAGGTTTTCTACTCGCTTTTACTTATGAAAGATGGTGATTTTGTGCTAGTTTGGGTAGTTTTGAAATGTTTTGAAGTACTGACAGCCTCTATTCCTATTACGGATAGTTTGCATAAGTGAAGGCATAAACTCGTTGGGAAGAAATATTTGGCGTATGATTGGTTAACTGATCCTTTGCTTGTTGATTTTGTTTGTGACTTAAGTATGCTTTGATGGTTTTTGTCGATTGCTGTGGATGATGGGCTTTTGATGGTGATATTATCACAGGTCTCAAGGGAAATCTTCGGGGTTGGTACATTCCATTGATGTTCATCCATCAAGAAAGCACACTTGTCTGGTAAGATTATTTTCCTCTTTGAATTGTAAAACTTTGATAGTTTGAGTACAAATTTGGACATTGTAGTTGTAGTCGTCTCATCTGTTGCCTCTCTTCAGTGGCTAAAATGTCTCTGCTAGTATCTCTCCTGTTGCTCTTCTTAGCTGCTAAAATATGCTGCAAGGATCAAAGTGAAGTCTAAAATGAAAAACGAGACATGGACTTGGAACAGTTATATGATGGTTGTAATGATAATATTGAAATATATATGTACCTACTAAAGTCCTGTCTGATTTGTGTGCTAATAAAATTGATGGTAGAATTACTAAAATATTGAACCAGAACAGGTAATAGCTCTCATTACTAGTGGCTTAGCGCTGGCATGGTTGTATTTTATCAACTAAGGACAATTGTTACAATGAGTTTGTCAAATTCTGAACTGGCATGTTTGAAATAGAAATAGTCGGTTGATCAATGATGTTTTCCATTTAGTTTCAGCAAGAGAAGAAGTGTTCTGTAGTGGAAAACCAAGGAATTCTAGTAGCACATGTTATTACTTCTTTTGAGTGTACTTGTAATATCTTCAAACTCTTGTTTATAGCTTCAAAACCATACTGCTGTGAAGCTTTAATGTGTTTCATTTTACTACTCTGAAACCTAGAATCGTACAATTGTATTCCTTAATGATTTTCAAAGCCTGAATCAGTTTCTTTCTGTGACCTAGTATGACAGTTATCTCTTGTTTGCTTGAATCTTAGGGCCAGATTATTAACTCTCTAATATTTGTAGGCTGGAGGCTCGTCAGGTACAATATTTGCCTGGGATCTACGGTGGCAGCAACAACCAATTGTTCTTTCCGGTGTTGGGACTGGAGAGGCTGCAATCCCTTTGTTATCTGAAAGTGAGGTTTGGGAGGTTCAGTATGATTGCTATGCAAAATCTTCAAATTCATCTGCACGAGTCTTACCTGCAATGTTCTGCTCAGAAGATGGTATCCTTGCCATGGTTGAACAAGGTATGGTGTTCTTGATCCATCCATCACTGAATGCCTACAATCACTGTTATTCTGCTGGCATACGGCATGCACACTTATCCAAGTGAAAATCTCACAGTTTCATAACTGGATTGGATGACTATTTTCTAAAAGCTAATAGGACTACAACAAAAGTACTTCAGGGACTTAAATTGTAACTGATTATATATAAATTTTCAATTGATAGGCGAAGAACCCATCGAGCTTTTGGCTGAGCCTTGTGCAATCAACAGTTTTGACATTGACCAGCAAAACCCCTCGGTAAGTACTAAGTACAAAAGACTTGGTTTTTGCATTCTGGAAGTCTAGATTAATGTCTTTACTGACCACACAAATCGGCATGCAGGATGTTATTTGTTGTTTGGAATGGGAATCTATAGCGATTGTGATAAGGCCATGATGTTATTTTAGAATTGTATGTATAGAGAGTTAACCACTCAGCTTGGGATCTGTTCATGTGTTTTTCTTCCGGACCATTTACTTAATAATCCGAGAGCTACCCAGCTTCTTGGTGTAATGTACTCCATTCTGGCCTTGGAAGATGCATGGAGCAAGTTCCTGACAGAAAAAAAACAACTGTGATGTTCTTGAACGGCTAGTTGGCAAAGCATATTGATAATTCTGCATCCGGGCAACTCATGAAGACAGTTTATGTCATGATTGAATCGCTAACAAGCAGCTGTTCTTGTGCTGGGTAATTTGATTAGATGTTTTAACAGCAAATGTAATTCTAACCATTTGATCATGCTTACTGAATGAGAATCTTGAGCAAGTTGTAACCAGTGCCACATTGTTAAATTTGATCTCACTTTGCAGAGAATTTTAGCAGTTGGGCTGGGTTTTGTTTCTCTTTTCAAATCTCTTTGGGTATTGTTTTGTGCAATTGTTTTTCTTGAAAACAAATTCTATAACTAGGATTTATAATTTTGTATTTTCAAGTTTGGGGACATTCTTCTATATATATGTTAGAAAATGGTTCGATTTGATGGGTTTCATAATAATAAAAAAAAAAACTCCACTAATTATCCAATCCAATTTTTAATCCATCTAAATTAGATCATAATTTCAGCAGAACTTCATTATTTTAAACAATAAACATCATTAAATATCCCACAAAAAAAATATTATTTTGAGTGCGTATAAATTTCTCTCATAAGTTGTAACAAAATTACATAATTCTTAGCAAAACTTCATAAAAATTCTAAAAATCATCATAAATTTGTTTAAAATTTGTAAGAAATCTTCAACATTTCATTTAGTGTCTATATACTATTGGTTTATTACAATGCCACCCTTGAGGTTTGACAAGAAAATGTTTCCCTCCTCTCCTTCCATTTCAAAAAACTAAGGCTGCGGTTAAATATAACATATCAAGGGGTAGATTAGATATTTTGAATAAACTACCAACATATTTGTGGCCGGCAAGAAATTTTAACTAAATAGTTGATCATTTTGGAATTTTTATTTTATCCTTCGGTAAAGTTTCAGCTTTACCAAACCTGGGTAGCAGTGTAATTAGCTTGCTCTATTATTAGTTTTTGTTCAGGAAAAATTTGCAAAATCATTAAGGTTTGAGAATTCTAATCTATCCCTTTTGTTTACAGAAATAACAAATCACCCCCTTTGGCGGAGCATCATGGTTGATGAATGCGCAATGTCCTCAGCCGTAAAAAACAGAAAAGATAGCGGTCTTCATTTTATTTCCTCTTTATCCACACATCACCATTCTCCTCCTTCTCCCTCTTGTTCATTCAGAGCATACAAACACAATTCCAAACATGGCTTCTTTAACCAATTCCATGTTATCTTTCAAATTAAAATGTTCTCACTTTTCTCCAATTCGCCCCTCTCGTTGTTCCTCTTCTCTCCTCCAACTCACTTCAAAGCTTCAGAACTCACTCAAGCTCACCTCCACTCACTGCATTTCTCCCTCTTCTTCACTTCTTCTTCGTAGCAACAAGCTCTCGGAATCAACATTGGTCTCCCAAACTAGGCCCCGGACTGTAACTGTTTTCGCTGCTAAAGGCTACAAAATGAAGACCCACAAGGTCATCTCTCTTCCACTCTCTCTCTCTCACTCTACTTTCGCTTATCTGCTTGTTTTCTCAACTGGGTATTGAAAAAATCCCAAAAGAATTCAAAATTGAAAGAGTTACATTCATTTTAGTTAAATATTAGCCATGTTTAGCGTGAGTTGGCAACAAAATTAATGTTAATTTAGGCAATTTTGTAATCAATTGTTGTTGAATGTTATTACTGTGATAACTTGTAGCAAAAAAGACTGTTATTTTGGTAAATTTAGTCAAGTAAATTTGAAGTCCTACTTGCACAGTTGCACGATACTGAAATAAGGCTATTCCAGTAATGATACCGGGATTAAAGACAATTTTGTTAACATTGTGGTTGATATGTTAATGCAAATGTTGCAAGTTACCTAGAAAACGTTGTTCTGATAATGTTACTGAGAGGAAGTCAATTTTGTTGAAGTTGTGGCTAATATTTTAATACAAATGAGTGCATGATATTGAGAAAACTTTGTCCCGATAATGTTACTGGAGTAATGTCTTATTTTTATTTGTGGTTGAAACGTAGGTGTTCATGATGCATGATACCAAGAAAATGTTACTCCGGTAATGTTACTGGGAGTGAAGTGGATTTTCTTGACAGTTGTGGTTGAAATGTTAATTCTGTCACATATTTATTTGTTGCATTATACCATGAAGTGTGTTTTTCAGTAATGTTAATGGGATTTTAGTTACTTGGATGACATAATAAAAAAAGTAGTTAAATTTGATTGGTTTTTGTTGATAGGCATCAGCAAAGAGGTTCAGGGTGACTGGTAGCGGGAAAATAGTGAGGAGGAGGGCTGGAAAGCAACATTTGTTGGCTAAAAAGAACACCAAGAGAAAATTGCGCCTCTCTAAAATGGTTAGCTTTCTTTAACAGCATTGGAACCTCAGCTGTTTTTGTTTGAATATACTTGATTTTAGTTTTTGGTGCTGTTTTTGTTTGAATATGCTTGATTTTAGTTTTTGGTCTTATTTGCCAAAGATTGCTTCTCTTTTCTATATTTTTACAGAAAGAATGTGAGTGAAATGCCTAGACAATGCTTTGTATTCTACACTAAATATATAAATGAATTCTGGACATGAGTAGAAATCAGATTCAATGCACTCTGAATAGTTGATATTACATCTCTCATATTATTTCGAAAAGTGTATTCATAATGCATGTCCAGTGTTAATCACTACTATTAAAGGTGCACTGACTCAGTGGTTAACAACTTGTGTTATAATCTGTTAAAAAGATGTGGTGCCATTGATCTTATCCTAGACCTGATTATGTTTAGATTTTTAGCTTATACTGTGAAAAGTAGGCCGCATTAAGATTCGTCTTTCTCTTGATGCAAGTGTTCTTCACAGTAGAAAAAATAATTACCCTTTCCCATATTTACTCATCCGGTCTGGAATCTATCAGTTGAAATTTAAGATGTTTTATCTTAGAAGCTAGAATATTTTTTTATCATAAATGCTTAAATTTGCAAAATAAGAAAGGATAGGGAGATATTTGTAAGTTTTATCATGGTTCATTAAAATCCAGTAATCATGAGGAAACTTTTCTACAGGATAGAGTTAGTCTTTGTGAATTTCAGATTATTTTCTAGAGAATCTCAAGTTGAGAAAGGAGGAACAATGACTTTACATAAATAATTGCTTAATAGTCTCAAGAGATGCAAATGAATGCCTTGGTCAATCTGTTTAGGAAGACTAAGTCATAGCCTCCAATATTAGAATGAGTGATAGTTTGATGTGTGCTAGTTATGCTAATGGATTTGACTATTTTGACATTTGAGGATAGAGCTTCAACATTTGAAGGTATCATATTGACTGGGGAAAGTATGATTGTGTTTGTTTAAAGTTATACTATCGAAAATTAATGGATTAGTAGTGAATATGAGGGAGCTAATCCATAACTTTGAACAAAGAAAATTGTTTCTTTCCCAGTCAATATGGTACTAGAAAATCAATGGATTTGTTCCCTCGTTTACTGCTGTTCTATTTGCTATTCAGCCTTCTGTTGCCTTTGGTCTGGAAATTTGGAGTGCTCTTGGTAATATATTATGATGTCTCCACAAGTTGAAATTCCAGTATGTTTAACTACACAGGCTAGATATAGTTCGAGGGAAAAAGATTCCTAAGGTTCTTTCCACCGTTGGCTTTTCATAGCTGTTTTGCTTAGATCAAGTGATGATATTAGTTTAAAATATCTAGACGGCTAAATCAGAGATGTGGAACAACTTCGAATAATTGAGCTCATAGGTGTTATCATCATTATATCCAATCACACTGATGAAAACCGAAAAGATAATATTACGTCATTTACTATTTTTTATGATTGTGTTTCTTAGTCAGCTTGAGAATTGACTGATTCAAATGCACTATAAGTAATACTCATTCCAGATGCAAATCGAACACTATTGACTCTTTGATATCGCGATGGATGTCCAAAAAGCCTCATCACACTTAAAGAATCAATCCGGATGTTGTTTAACTAGAGATAAATGAGATTTCTGCATTCAAGTGAATTTCTTTTTATTCAAGAATCATAGCTATGTCATAGATTTTAACCTTGCTGTCTTGTTTTCAATTTATATGTGCTCTCTTAAATCACTTCATTTTACTTTTTCAACAGCACCCCGTTAGCCGAAGCGACTACAACAATGTTATCGGTTGCCTGCCATATCTCAAAGTCAATAGAAATGCAAAGTAGAGGCAGTCTTTACATTTTGCAGAAGGCCTGTATTTTCATTTCCATGAAATATTCTTACTTTCATGTAATCACCATTGTTTTATTCTCTTAATCCAGCTAAGGATGGTTGAGTTTTCCTACCTTAAAATTCCCATGTTTATTTCTCAAAGCTCAGAAGCACTTTCAAAGCATGTCAAAACTAAAAGCTGGATTCTTTCAAGCAAAAGCACTTTTTGGGTAAAGCTCATTATTGATCCTCCATAGCTTTATTCCAAAAATATAAAAATTGTATTTTCATAAAAGTGTATGTAGGTCCAAAAATAGTCTTGATATTCCTATGTTTCGAGCTGGGGTTTGCAAAGCGATTAGAGATTTCTGAATTATATGTATAATTTAATTCTAACATAGAATAATTATCTAATCAGGACGTCCTGGTATTAATTTGTTATTCTGATGAAACGAATCCCATGATGATTAAGTATAATCCTAATAAATCTTGATTGAGTGTGATTAAATTATAGATTAAGATGAATTAGAAGCACATGTGGACTCACATGGGAAATTAGGTATAATTTGACTTTTGAGGATGATATTAAGTGAATATTTCCTCATTGTCAATATGAAACATAACGCTAACCACCAACTTTAAAATCTTTTAAGTCTCTTTTGTTTGGCATCTATCACAATCACCCCCATTATAATATTTACATAATTAATTCTTCCTTTCCTTTAATTAATAGATTATAAGATTTTTCTTGGAGTTAACATTGACCCCCCTCACATTTGATTAAATATCAAAATCTCTAGAAGTTTTTGAGATAACAAAATATACACTTTTATGAGCTAATGAACAATCACTTAATTGCCCTCTTGCTATTTATTTTAATACCTAAACTTAAAATAGATGGATTTTTATTATTTAATCAAATCTCAAGAGATCATTGTTACTAACCCTCTTGTAACCTAATATCTTAGTAGTTTATTTTCTTTATTTCTTATTCTTACTTTTAAGATTGACAAATATAAGTAATAATGATACATATCTAAATTTCGGATCTTGACCAATTAATTTGGTAATTAATTCAGTTATATCAATTATCACATCATACTATAATTAATAAATACCTATGCTTTCCTAATCCGATCTCTTTTTTAAATTTTTATACATCATATGACATATGTACAAAAGAGCATACTAAGTTTTGTTTTCTTATCTTATCAATCACATATTATGAACTTGTATTTTACTGAAATAAAGTTTAGATCACGGAGAATTCAATCATAATTTAGGAAATGTTATCGAATCCAATACCACATCAAATATGATTTGAAGTTTGGACCTCACCATAAATGAAAGTTTTTATGATATAAATTAAGTCGTAATTTTACACACAAACATCAAACTATGTTTGATTTCACAATTCACATCTTGAGGTCGTGGTCGTCCTCTTTAATCACAAAGGTAAACGCGCTCAATTGCCGCCACAACTAAGCACAAGTTAGTGACATTTCACCAAACTAATAGGACCTTAATATATTTCACTAAACCTCAAAGGAGTTAAACGTAAAAATTAGCCCTAAAAGTCCGGATACTTAACACACTTCCAAAATAAGCTTCCTAAAATCCTAAAGACCCGACCCGACCCGAATTTTTTCAATTTTTAGGCAGAAACTCAATCATTACTAAATACAGCCGCCCTTACTCAAAACTTTCTTTCTTTCCTTATCAATCATCCAAATCAACAGTCTACGTGTCACATCAGACGATTCATTTCTGACAAGCCACCGCAGATCTTGCGCCACGTATCGCACGGAACCAACTACCGCCGTCTTTTTAAAGCCACCGTGGCCCCCCATATATCCGTTTAACTCGTACCATGAGTGTCAATTACACACGTACACTCGCCGCCATCACTCAACTAAATTACCAAACTACCCGCCTAACAGCGCCGTTATAATTGCCTTACGGGAGGGTAGCATCGTGATTCCAGTTAATCAAGCACGTGCTCGCCGTCAGAGTAGCACCGTTAAAGGTCTCTCTCGTTCGTTTCATAGTTCGAAAATAAAATATAAATTCCCTTTTTTCTAGGGTTTTCAGAATCGGCAGATTTTATTTTATTTTTTTCTTTAATTAATCAAGAAATTTAACGAATAATTTTTCCGGGGTTTCGTTTTCGGATTTGGGTTCTTCGTATTTTCGGTTTTGCGTTTGGGTTGAAGGAAAGTTTTGATTTTTTGATGGTTCGGTTGATGAAATCAGGGAACTCCAAATCGGAACCTGAAACGACGTCGTGTCGGGACAAGGTGCCGGTGAAATTAGAGTTCGTTGAAGACTCGTTGGAGGAAGAACACGGCCCTCTCAATAAGCGATCTAAGCCTTCTTCAAATCTTCAACAACAGGTATTCATTTTTTATTTTTTTTAAAGTTTTTAAAACTATTCTCCCCTGTTTGGTTGCTGAGAAACTGAATACAACGAATGAAAAATCAAATATAAGATTTTAGATATGGAAACCTAAAAAGATTTTTTTTTTTTTTTTTAAGATTCTGTTTGTTTGTATTAGTTTGACCTTGGATTTGATTGTCTCAATAATTTATTTTTTTTTTTTGTATTTTTTGTTGTTGATTGAATTGAATTAGCAATGGAGTGCTTGGAATAATGATAATAACAATGATGCGTATCCAATCCCGCCATCACAATACAACCCACTTGATGAGCCGAGTCCGTTGGGTTTGCGGCTGAGGAAGAGCCCGTCGTTATTGGATCTGATTCAAATGAGGCTCTCTCAAGCGCCAGAGAATAATCTTAATCCTGTAGTTAAGAAGGAGAGTAAAGCTGTGGCAGCTGCTTCTTCGGGTGCTACTGACAAGCTCAAGGCGTCGAATTTTCCTGCTTCTCTTCTTAGGATTGGACGGTGGGAGGTAATATTGATTAGTTTGTTTTTCGTTAGTTTTGTTTTTAATGTGTTGGGGAGTTTTGAGTTTATAGGAATTTATTTTGGTGGCAGTATAAATCGAGATATGAAGGCGATTTGGTGGCGAAGTGTTACTTTGCGAAGCATAAGCTTGTTTGGGAGGTGCTTGAAGGTGGTCTTAAGAGCAAGATAGAGATTCAGTGGTCTGATATTATGGCTTTGAGGGCAAACTGTCCTGATGACGGTCCCGGGACTTTGAATGTTGTGGTAATGTTCTAGACTATGGATGAATGGTAATTGTGTGTTTTAGTGTGTGGGCATAAATTGATTTATTGGTAGTTTTTTGTGTTATGCAGCTTGCTAGACAGCCACTTTTCTTTAGGGAGACTAATCCACAGCCTAGAAAGCACACATTGTGGCAGGCTACAGCAGATTTTACTGATGGGCAGGCTAGCTTACACCGGTTAGATATTGTTCTGCCATTGGTGATTCTTCTTGTTTTCTTTAATTGGATGATTTTATGGAGTCTGTGGTCCCAAGTTGTCTCAGTAGATTGTGTGATGTATTTGAGTTGAAGGTTCTGATTTTAAGTTATTTGTGGCATATATTCTGTCTTTTTTTTGTCTTCATGAATTTATTTGGTTGTAAGCTCTCCATCTTTTGAGTTAGGATTCAAGTGCTTTCCTAATATCTATTTAACGATTAAACAATATAATGCTGTTTTTCATCTTGGAAAAAATTAAATTCTAACTCATACAAGGTTAAACATGAATTTGTGTACCTTTACGTTGTACAAAACTTTTGCTGCTTGTTTTATGACTTGATGTAACAGGTTTGGAATATGTTAGTTGCTGAAAATCTTACCATGCATTGCTTTTCAAAGATTCTACTTGAAGGAGATGTAACTATATGGAATTAAATACTGATGTGAAAATCATTTACTTTGTTTTTGTAGGCAACATTTTCTGCAGTGTCCACAAGGGCTGTTAAACAAACATTTTGAAAAGCTCATCCAGTGTGACATGCGTTTGAATTATCTAAGCCGACAGCCAGAGATAAGTTTAGATTCACCATACTTTGAACCAAGGGGTTCTATTTGTGATGATCCAGATGAGTCAAAAGGTGATCGAGTGGAGACTGGTCAAGGATCAAGTATTACTGGTTTGCAGAATTTGGCATCACCAGTTGCAGCTCACTCGTCTTCCTTTGAAATTGAGAAAGGGGAACCTTCTGGTTTTGGATCAGAGAATATGTCTCGGGAAGCTCCTTCTCCTAGCTCAGGTATGAGCTCAGTTCTTATTGCTGCCGTCTGTTTTTAGGTTTTAATGTTCTTTGCCTGTTCAGATTTTATCTTAGTAATTTTATATCTTTATCATTTAATTAGTTGTTCTCTTCAAGAAGTATGCATATTATTTGTTTGTGTTGGTCATGGTGTGGGGGAAGAAATTCTGTACTAAAAGAGAATATGCCTTTTAGTTTGTTAATGTTTATAGGTGCCCTAAGTTGATCCTAGGCTTAATTTATTAATTGTTATTATATGTGGCTTAAATTACGATCTTTTTATGTGGATAATTGTGATTAGTATATGGAAAACTATGAAAGACAATATAACATAACATTGAAATATGTTGCAAACATTGAAAAATGAAAATTGGTCTTCATAATTGATGCTATGAGATCTGAAGGTGGTGCATTTTTTAAGCATAAAGAGGCCTGGCAAGATATATATTTTATGAAATCATGTTTAAATTTTTTATTTATTTATTTTGTGCTTTTTTCTCTGTTATTCTGTATGAATGCTGGATCTTAGTATTATGCCTAACTGTAGGGCTTGAATGTGAAGATATTTTATGCCCTATGAAGGTATTTATTGTTCTTGTAAGTTTTTAGTATGGTTATGGGTGCATTTTTTCTTCAATTGTCACTTATTGCCACTCTAATACTAGTAATGGACACTTGTGCAATTGAAGGGAGTGGAACGTGTGAAGTAAATTCGAAGGGAACAAGGAATTGGGACCAGATAAAAGTGCCGGGCCTTCACCCATCAATGTCTATGAGTGATTTTATGAACCACATCGAAAACTGTCTTTCAGATCAGATAACTTTCGGAAATCAACCTGAGGAAGGAACAGATTGCCGTGACTTACTGGAGGACATTGCACAGTACTTGCTTAGTGACACTCAGCAGTCAACAGCAGCTTCGGATGAGAAATCCCTCATGTCAAGAGTCAATTCTCTCTGTTGCCTTTTGCAGAAGGAACCTGGTGCAGCTCAAAACTTTCAAGCAAACGGGGAAAGTTCTGATGCAAGACCAAATGATGAAAATGGAAAGAATGTTCAGCTACACATCTCTCCTGAACCATTGCATGATAACAAAAATGGAGTTGAAATGAAGGCTCCTGAAGTTGATCCAAAAGATTTCTCTGGCGGCAAGCCAGCAACCGGCATGTCAAGGAAAGACTCACTTGGTGAGCTGCTACTTCATCTCCCTCGAATCACCTCCCTCCCAAAGTTCTTGTTCAACATTTCAGAAGAAGATAGTGAGACTCAATCAAGATAGTAAAGTTGAACAATTTAGAATAATGCAAGAATCAAAGCTCTAGAAAGCCAAAAAGCAAAGTATCATGCTTTCTGCTCATGTGAATTGAAGATCTACTTGTGGTGGTTGAATACGCATCTCGGTATTCTGAAGAAATGGTCTTATAGGGATAATGTGCTGGGATTCAGAAATTTGTATTGATGAAGAATCCTGATAGAATGTCCCTTGTACAAGTAATAGATGTTAACTTATTATTAATTTGTACGTAAATTACTGTTGATTCTAGCAAGGTTCCTGTTTAATAAAGTAGGTATTGTGCTTTGTTCAGCCACTTATTGTATTTTTCCCAATGTTCTAGCTTTCGCGGGTAAGCTAATGCAAATTCTAGTGGCCAGCCACATATTGTTTTAATACATTCAACGATAGTTATTTTAAGGGTTTGATTTACATGGTAAGGCACCAAGATTCTCTTCTAATTTATTTCTATTTGAGTAAGAATATAAGATTTTGATTGTCCAACTAGTCATTGTAATCTCCTACATTCTCTCCTACTAGTCATTGTAATCTCCTACATTCTCTCTGTAATCCCACACAAGCATTAAGATTTGTTGACAAAGAGGCAAAGAAATTGATTTGTGTTTCTATTATAGTTCAGTAAAGAACAAGAGAAAGAACTCTACAAATGAGGAGATATTTCTTTTTTTGGGTAAACCCAGTAATTGTCTCTTCCGATGACTTGAACACAAGACTCTTGGGTATAGCTAATCTGAGTGAGGCAGTGACTAAAGGGCTTGTTATCCGGTCAAAAGGGAAAGGTCAAATGGGGAGATATTTGAATTGAAATCACCAAATTCAAGCATTTCCCATCCAATTATTACCTAATTTCTGAAAAAAAAAAAATTAAATGAAATGAAAGGATCCTGTTGAAACTGCATGGTGCATAATTCAGGATAAAGATGAACTCTTTTAAGTTCTACATATGATACATGGAGGATCTCTAAAAACTTCATCTGCTGTAAGAAACTCAAGCATTTGGCATGGAAGACGTGGCCACAGGGAAGAACAGCAACCTCTGGAAGAATATTAGAGAACCCATCCTTATATCCTTCTGAGTATAGTGGTGAAGCTGCAAGATCCAGATGACATATATAACAACTCTCTCTAGATTCTGCCCTGGAGTCATCAAAACCTGCAGAGTGCAACCGATATTCTTAATACAAATGATGGAAGTAAATTACTCTCTGATGCCGATGTTCGCACCATAAGAAAGGAATTTCTGAACCTCTTTTTTGAAGTGAGTTATGGAGGACAAACCACTTTTGTCCTCCATGATTTCAGAATCAACTACTTGATGTTTTCGATTGGAATGAGAGAGAGAAACAAGTCCTAGATATATGTACCTTTCCCATGACACACCATTGTTTAATTTCATAAAATTATCCAAGATTCGATATCCTACAATTAAGTGTATCTTGGTTTACAATTTAGGCTCTAACGTCCTCACCCTTAACCAATCGCTTTTTTATTCTTTTAGCATACTTTTGACATCAAAATTTTTTCTTAGCACGTTAACACAACCCATTATTCAAATAGCAATTGCAAGGTACCTTTGAAACATACCTTCTCAATCGATGTAACCATAATCAGCTTCCCTTCTTCAGAATCTCTCATAATGAATTTCGGAGTTTGGTTTAGGTAGATTTTTCATAAGTTTCTGTTATGCTTGAAAAAGTAGGACTGATGTGGAGCCTCGTCAGTAAAGGATGGTCAGAGTTCAGAAGGGTTCTGTGCCGTTCAGGTGCGGCCACGTCGCGCCTAGCGCAAGTGGCATGGCTCTTGTCAGTGCAATTGGTAGGTGTCAGGGTAGCAAGCGGCTGGAGATCGCCCGAGTGTCAAAGCCCTCCTTTAATCGAGGAAATCCCTCGGGCAGGTGATCAATGAGACGTAAAGAAATGATTTATACGACACTTACCCACTTGCAGCTTTCATAATCATTACCTTGAATTTTCCCACTATAAATAAAGGATTTCCCTCTCATTTGTGGGGATTAGTTGATTTTACGCTGAAATAGCTCTCTCTCTCTCTCTCTCTCTCTCTAAACTGTAACTCAGCTCGCTGAACGTGACATGATCACTCTCTCTTATTAATACAATAGCAGTGGACGTAGGATTCGCTTTAGAGCATCTGAACCACTTTAAATATTGCTTTCACCTTTTATTCGATTCAATCCCCTTATATCACGTATGACTTCTAAGTCATTTTAGCATTTTAAACGTGCGAGTAGTTGTGTCAAAATCAAGCATCAACAGTTTGGCACTAGAAGGAGGGCTTGATTTAGTACCTACTCTTCATTAGAAAAATCTTTGACTAATCGGTCCCACAATGGCAAATGGCTTGCTGTTTCAAATCTGAGCGAATCAATCATGGCAATGAAGAAATCCCCCAGATCCAGGAGGACACTTCTCCTGAAATGTCGCCAATCTAGCAGAATATCATAGCGGATATTCCTTCAAGCTCGTGGCTCGACTCAGCCATCATGAGTTACTTGGAAAGGTTCAATAATACTCTTCAAACGGTCCACCAGAGGCTAGACCGATTGGATCAGGTCATGCCACCCGAATCCAATGAGGTAGTGCCACTACCAAAAATGCATGTAGGTCGTGTGAAAGCGCAAAAAAAGGTGAAAGCCCATACTGCGCGTACTGCGGCGTGTTAGAGAAAGGAAAAGCAAGTGGCTCACAGCGGACCCAAGGGCTCCGAGTGACTAGCGAACACCGATCGTGCCCTGAGTAGATTACCTATGGCATTGCAACTCAGCGATATGTTACAACATGCGCCATCTCGAGCCACAACGCACAGGCACTCCCTTGAAGGTGCAAGGTGGGGAGATTCCCAATATCGCCAGAATGACGACTTCGGTCATCGTCGTCGTCGTGCAGGTGATTCCCATCCTCCGCAGGTCGATTCGTACCACCATGGAGGTCGGGAAGACTCCCCGAATCACACGGCTCTAGCCAACATGTGCCGAGATTGGCCAGAGCTTCCGGTCGAGGTGAGGAAGAGTCCAATTTACGGTCTTTCCTTAACCGTAACTGTGAGGGTCGAACCCACGTTGTGGAAAGTGATCCCTAGGTAGCTCCGCTGCCTCAGATTGAGGAACTACAGCGAGTTTTGGATCAACTTAAGGCTCAGCAGAATGAGTAAAGGCAGGTCGTAGAGGCGTCTCCTTTTTCTCCAGCAGTGTTAGATACCCCTCTCCCATCGAGATTCAGAATGCCCAACATGTGAGCATTCGATAGGAATTCTGATCAGAAGGATCATTTATACGAGTTCAACGACCTCATGGAACTCCACCAAGTCTCTAACTTGGCAAAATGTCATTTCTTAGCAGTAACCCTTACTGCCCATGCCAAGCGCTAGTTTAGGTCGCTTCCAGTAGGATCGGTAGGCTCATGGCCTCAAATGAGCTCGACATTTTTTAGGCACTTCCAGACGAACAGGAAGTTCTCAATGCTACTAAGCTACCTGAGCAATATACGGCAAGAGAGGGGAGAACCCCTCTAATCTTATATAGACAGGTTCCACAGGGAGTTCCATAAAGTGGCTATACTCCTAAAGAGTCTGTTCAGGCTCTCATCGTTGCGGGAGTTCGTCTGCAGACAGACTTATGGAAGGAACTGCAATCTAAGGATGATGTTTCCCTCACTCGCTTCTACAACCTTACTGAAAAGTACCTCCGGATCGAAAGTTCCATGGCAGCTCTTAGTTGCTATGACCCCAATCCGTTAGGTAATGCTCCCCATCGGGGGGAGAATAGGAGGGCTGATCGCAGATGGGCTAATGATGATCAGCGAAAAGAAAAGAAGCAACGGTACGAGCCCAAGAAATCTTATACCCCAATTCCTCGTCATGATCGCGACAAGAATCAATACACTCCTCTGAATGCCTCGGTATCGGCTATTCTGGATAAATTAGAGGAGGTCGATTTGCTCGGAGAGCTTGAGCCAATGAAGAATCCCGCCTCAGCCAGAAGCAATAAAAAGTATTGTCGTTATCATCGGAATAATGGGTACCACACCGATGAGTTTCGGGCCCTCAAGCAAGCAATTGAGGACCTCATTAAATAGGGGCACTTCAAAGAATATGTTAATGACTCAGCTTCCGTTCGGGAGAAAAATCAAGAGGAACCAGGGAAGAGCCGTCGTGGTCACAAAGGTCTCTACAATGTGGGGATCATCTTTGGAGGACCACACCCCGCTAGGAACTCTCGAGGTGCCCAAGAAATGTATGCTTGGGCAGCCCTTCATGACCCCATAAGTGTCATGAGCATGACGCCACGACCCGCCAAAGTTCTCAAAGAGGAGGAAATTACCTTCTTCGAGAAAGACGCGGTGCGATTACATCATATACATCATCCTCATGAGGATGCTCTCATCATCACACCTGAAATAGGTCGGTGCGAAGTCCACAGGATACTGGTGGATAATGGAAGCGCCGTGAATATCTTATTTCAGCAAGCCTTCGAGAAGATGAAACTGGACGAGGTAGATCTGAAGCTTGCATCTATCCCTCTGTACGGTTTCACTGGCTATCATTTGATTCCCAAGGGAATGATCTCGGTCCAAGTCACATTGGGAGAAACCAACGAGCTGACCAAAATGACTGGGTTTTTAGTAGTACACTGTCATTTCACTTTCAATGGCATCTTGGGACGACCTCTACTACGAAGTTTCAAGGCAGTCACCTCAATATACTATCTGAATATGAAGTTTTTCACCCCGACGGGGATAGGGGAAGTAAGTGGATCTCGACGTGCATCTCGCGACTGCTATGTAAGGGTAGTGTAGATGGCGTGCAAGGGAAAGGGAGCACCAATTGGCATCCCTGAGCAGGCAATAACGATCAGTAGGATTGAGCCACAGTCTGGCCAGGTTGAGGATGACATGGATCCTCGCATCCAAGAATGCCCTCACAGTGGGCTGGTCGAGGACCTATCCGAGGTATCGGTCAATCAAAGTGAGTCGACCCGAGTGTTGAGGATTGGAAGTAATCTTAGCCCTTAACTCGCCAACGACCTGACAAACTTCCTTAGGAAAAATGTCGACATATTCGCATCGACTTATGTTGAGATAGTCGGGATCAGCCTAAGGGTTATATGCCATGCCTTGAATATTGATAGTGCAGTCAGGCCAGTTCGCCAAAAGAGGAGAGTAATAGACCCCGAGCAGTATGCCGCCTTAAAAATCGAGGTAGATAACCTCCTCTTGAGCGGGTCCATCTGGAAGGCACTTTACCCGAGCTAGGTTGCCAACCCGGTCTTAGTAAAGAAGCCTATCAGAAAATGGCATACCTACGTTGACTTCACCGACCTCAACAAGGCCTATCCGAAGGACAACTTTCCCTTACCGAGAATCGACCAGCTTGTCGATGTCACCTCCGGACATGAG